GAGAAATATCAGAAAGAAAAAAGTTATTCAAATTTTACTGTAAAAATTTAACTTTTTTTTTTTTAAATAAAATTAATATATTGTTAATCTTCATTGAAACGAAATGAAAAAAAGCTTTTTATTAATACTTCAGAAATGCATGTATCATTACATTTATTAAAAAAAAAAACTGAGGTGTGTGCCTTCATCAGGCCACATGATGGAAGTAAAAACATCAACAAGGCGAGATTAATAATATGTAATATAATCTTCCATAAAACTCGTTATCGTTTGGTTTTCGACACTATTTTCTTCTTTTTGCCTCTCTAACAGGGCGTCATGTTAAGATACAATTTTGAATGATAGCCCATTACAGAGAGGATGAAATGTTGAACATTTTCCTCACTTACAGTACGCAGGTCTGATTTTTAGTATCTGAAATATTTTAATCCATATGTAAAAACATTTCAATTAGTTGACTCTGACCGACATTACCCGAGCGTTAACACTTCGGAAATCTGATGGATCAATCTAATACACTCTCCATAAAGAAGTGCGAAATGCGTTTAAAGAAGTTTACACTTACAAAAAAAGGCCAGTTTTGAAAAATAAAGATTGCTCCATCGGATTCATAGGAAGTTTTTACATGGGAATCGATATTCAAAAAAATCGATCAGGATTTCACTTGAGAAATAAGAGACTTATTCTATAGATTATTAGTTGAAAAATAAATGTATTGAGTAATTAATAAATCGATACCCGATGGCGATACTTAAAAATTAGTAGTATTTCTATAAAAAGCTCCTTCGATAATCCATTAATAAATCTCAATATTGAAGGAATCAGATAAGTTCTTATTTTTCACTGTTGTAAAACGGTTATTAGTTGGTTGTAAAATGATATATTTGCAACTCACCATTATAAAAAATAATTCAAATAATTTTTAAATATTTTAAAAATCCATTTCTATCCATCGGAGTGGCTTTAGAAATACTGAAAGACAAAATAAAAAAAGATAGTTTATTATAAACTTAGTTTCTGTCACTTATACCCCTTTGTTTGCTTCTGGAGACCTCAAATAATATTTTATGTATCAATATATTTACTTATATTTTTAACTGCTTGAACTCATCATTTTTATAGTGAATTTTATAAATTTATTTTCCGTATATTCATCAGAAGCGTATAGATTTTAATTTATCCATCATATTTAATTTGGTTATGATGTATATCCAACTATAGCTTTTGATTAGTTTTAGCTCTTTGTTTAAAAAAAATATTTAGATTTAAATTCATTTCCTTTGAAATAATATACTTATTTATTTTTTTATATTAAACTTCTATTTATTTATTTTTTCTAAGCTTAATTTATACACATTACTGACTGAAAGACTGGAACTTTTATCTATCAGCTTGTCCCTAGTAAATTTGTTAAGTGGATGAAATCCTGTGCATAGTATAAAATATAGATGATATTGTAAAATCATAGAGAATTGGGTGATGTAGAATTAGCTCAAAATCATGTCTTATTGTTGTGATGAACCAAAAAGAATAAATAATAATGAATCCAATATTGCCTATTAGTTTTTAACACGTTACTGGCTTTTCATAGGGCTAACATTTTTTTTTTTTTAGAAAATTTCAATATAAACTAAATGGTGCTCTAAACTAATGATTTCAACATATCTGTTATATGATAGGTATAGTTTAAATCAATAGCGAATCCAGGATTTAATTTTGAGATGGGGCTAATGTTTTTTCTTAAACTTAGTAACGTAATGGTAACTAGATAAATAATATTGCTTTTAGGGATAAAATATTTGTATTTTTTCTTGACACGTGCTTATATTTAGTAGTTGAAGTGCATGGGTTATAATTAAAAAATGTAACATTGTGAATAAGTATTTGTAACAGATAACTCGTAGAATCAAATATGGAACAATGAAAAAAAAAATGTATTTTCATCGTATAAGAGGGGTTTGAGCCCAAAAACTCCCTTTCCTTAATCTGCCTGTTTATATTATACAAATGTATACACTTTATATTATTACTAATACATCCATTACTGTAACATTACTCTAATCTTTCATGATTAAATTACTTTATTTTTGTTGAAGAATTTAAGATTTAAATAGTTGGATATACGTCGATACCCGTGTATTATTTCAAGTTCAGATTTTTTTGTTTTTAAGTTTAACATGAACAATTTTAATTCATTAGGTTTACCTTTCATTTTCATTCATTTTTAATTGGCCATAAGTCATTAAATATCCATGTGTTTGAATAATAAAAATAATATAAAGTCTTTTATGATTTGATATTTTAGTTTTCATTGAGTACTTTTTGCTTTTTCTCAATTCCATTTGAAATTTAAAGTTAATTGATCTGCATTCTGCTAGAATTAAATTTTAGTAATTTTTGTTTTGTTTAAATGATTTTTGAACATGACCATTTTTTCGTTTGCATATTAATGTGGATGCGATTCAATGCCTTGGTTTCAGATGGAATTGATCTCTATATGATATATTCATTTTTTATTTTTCATTCCTTTTTTCAAATATGGTCATACGTACATTTAAATTAAATTCTTGAAAGATCTACAATGAAAATATATGTCTACCTACTACAGGAGAGAGTTAAAGGAATTTTTTTATGTATTGACCAACATAAAAGCTATATTGCTTCATTTCATCTTATGTTTAAGCGTATTTACATGTTATTTTTATTTAGAATTTGGTGATTTTTCACTGATCGACTTAACTGATTACTGATTGAAATGACACTAAATGATTAAAGATTCCCCTTAAACAATCAAGAATGCTAGACAAGCACAAAACCTGATCAAAGCAGTAGACAAACGGAAAGATTGATAAAGCAGTTTGACTAATGTAATGCTTATTACAACATAACAGATATTATTGTATAAACATTATCTGTATACTATACTATATTGCAGTACGATTCAATATTAATATATATAAAGTCAACTGAGACAGACTTTGATCTATTCTACAGATCCTACATTTAGACAGACCATATAAGTAAGAGTAATTCAGGCCAAGTGGATATCTATTGAACATCAGCAAGATATTATAGTCATTATACCAAATATGCTACAGGTATGTTATCGTTTGGAAAAAAAAAAATCGCCATTGAGGTTTTAATAAATGTTATAGAAGAAAACATTCTTGTATATAAACATTTAGAAAGTATCTATTTCAACTTTATGAAGCCTATTTTTATATTAAATTTAGAGAGTATTCTCTAATTGTTAAAAGAACTTTAAATATCATTCAAAAGGTAAAAAAAAAATATAAGTCTTGCATTGGAAATTTTTTTGTTCCTTCAGTAGTAATGCAGTTTTTAATATTTCCACTCAATTAGACAAAATTAGTGAAAATACATTTATATCTCTTTGGATAAATACAAAATCATTGAGAAATGATCTGTTTTGGTTGATAAATGTCCCTAAATTTTATAAATCCCAATGGAGTATATCGACAGCCACTCTGCAAAAGCCTGAAAGTGCGTAACATAAAATTATTTATAAGACAAAATAAATTGCGTATTTCTTATTTTATGAAGTAAATTTTCCATTTAATTTTTTATTGCATGCTTGAGACAAAGATGTAATGTTCTAAATAATGTTTTTAGTTCGTTTTTACCAGCCAATTATAATCCAAAATATTAATAGCTGAAAGCTGAAAACCGCACATTGGACTTACATGCTTTTTCAGTGTGGCTGTGCATAAATTGGTTTATTTCATGTTTTGTCTGATAATTATAATGATTTATTTTGTTTCTCAATTAAATGAATAATAAATGCAGTCTAATCTCATTAACTCAAACATCAAATCCTTTCACAGTATAAATTGTTTTCATTCCTTTGATAGATAATCGTCTTTCATAAAAAATAAATAGAAGTCTAGTTTCATCTTGAAGAGTTTCTTAGTCTTCCGTTAACATTCCTTATGTTTCCGATCTAGCCCAATCCAGATATCTATCCTTCCACAATAAACTTCAGAATCAGCCGAACTCTCTCATTTCTAACCTTGCTTTCTCTTCGTTCCCTGATAACACTCCGAGGCCTCAAGATCTATCACAAATACATTTTTTAGAGTTCTATCTATGGTTAGTTTCTCAACAAGTGTTTTATGTTATTATTTTCTGTTATCACATTTACTGAATGTATTTTAATTCTTAATACGGTTGTAAATATCATAAATCAAATATCAAAATGGTAACCCTTTCTGCTTAGACTAAATATATCTAGAAGGACTTCTTATACCCATGAAATTTGAGTTATATTGAGATTCGACTGTATTAGTTAATGAAACATAATTTATTTGAACTTTCTACTGTTCCTCACAAAAACATTTCTCAATGACAGCGTATTTTCCATTAGAATAATGTATCTACAACAAATTAATATTAAAATTTGGTAAGATGGGTTCAGCAGTTAAAATTATGTTTTGAAAATCATTTATTATTTTCCTCCACAGCTGAGTAGTCCTAATTTATATTATTGTATTTGTTGTTAATATCCTTTCTTCTTGAGGGTTATATTATTAATTTATTAATAATATTAATTTTGAAATAAGGCTTTTCAGAACGAGAACTATTAACTGTTTTTATCGAGAAGGTATTTATATTTTAATTTTTATTATTGTATCTCAAATTTTTTTAATGTTTTATGATGTGTTAAATTGGCTCTCTTCGTGATGAAGGGAATAGGGAGTATTGTATTGATTAACTGAGTACCTGAAGAACGAAGTTTATGCTGTTAGATCAATTATATATTTTTTTAAAAAATAGTTAATGTTCTCGTTACGTCTTATTTCAAAATAGGTTTCCTTGTTTTATCAAATTTTTATAATCTTATTTAATTATGTTGTTTAGGAAGGTTTAGCCTTTAAGATAATTTATTATCTTTGTTATAAACTTTACTATGATAATTATAATTTTTAATTTAGTTTCATTTTATAGCAAATTTTAATTCCCATTTTTAATGTATTTCACAGCTTACTTTCGTTGAAAAGTATATCAGCTCGATGAGAGAAAACGGAGGAAAGTGTAAAGCGGAACATGATAGGGTCCATTCGATACTGAAGGAGGTGAAACATTACAGCCTCGCAACGCATCTTTTGTGGGGGCTTTGGGCTGCCATTAATGCTCACTTCTCTCAAATACCGTTTGGATACAAGGTAAATGTTGTAATAATATCTAATCCTTACTTATTTAAATATTAATATCTAATATCTATCCTTAATATTTATATTGAAAGAAGTTAGTAGACTGTTCTATAGATAGATAGAAAAATAATTTTATTCTGGGACACAGTCCCTTGAGAATAACAAAATAGAACAAAATTAAAAGATCACATCTGGCCAAAATAAAATCAATCGAAAAAAAGAAATAATGAAAAAAAAATATAAGGTAAACATTCTATATACAAAACAAACGAAACTATATACAAAGCAATTAATACTATGACAGGGCACTTAAAGCTATTTGCAATGATAGACTAGTATACACTTTTAAGAAAATAATAAAGAATTAAAAAATAAAAATGTATCAAATTCTCTATTAAAATCAGCTCGAATGGTTAGCAACTATCTGACTGTTTTTGGGATAGGAATTGGAATAGGAGGGTTTTGAATGTGGATATGGATGGGGAATGTCGAATTTTGATAGGGAGGGAATTCCAGAAATTGACAGAGGGAACAATAAAGGAATTTTGGAATGAGGCAGATCTGTGAGAAGGCATGTTAAGGTTAGAAGGTCGAGATCTTGTGGACAGGGAATGGACTGAGGATTTGAACTGGAGAAGGTTGTAGGTGTAAGAAGGACGATGGTTGTTGATGATTTAGTAGAGGAACGTACCTAGGAAATATAGTCTTCAGAAGGAGGGGAAAAGCCACTTTAACTCAGCTTAGTGGTGAGAAACATGGGAGTATCTTGGGGCCCCGATCACAAATCTTACGCAGCTGTTCATTTATGGTGAATTACGCAGCTATATATCATGGGTGATAAATAATCAGGATGCAGTCTTTTTTTTTTTTAATTTTAATTTTTTAATTTATGCCAACGTTTCAACCAAAACGTGTTGGTCATCTTCAGGGCTGAAAAATTGTTTAAAAATACAATCAGAGATATAATATTATATGATCGATAATGGTAAATAATAAACTATAGTGTAGTAAATAATAAATTATTGTCTTTATTATAAATATTATTTGCCTTACCATTGTATACTTTTAATCAAACCATGTTATATTCATATTGATTGGCACCTCTTGCTTATGTTCATTTGATTACTAGCCAATAGTCACATTTCTGTAACCATAACAAACAACGCAAATAGTGTACACGTTTGTAATATTTAGTCAGCAAATTATTTACATTCTACAAACAGAAATGTTACCTCCCTCTCCTCTGACTATGTTTACCTACCTTTTGCTATCTGGAAAAGGACAACTGGAAAATCCTCTCCCCCCCCCCCCTGACCTTTTCACTTATCTACCAAATATGTCAGTACTTGAACACCCTCAGTGCTCAAACCACAGTTAGTAAGAGAAAATATTACCTATTTGTATAAATGGATGGATTATATACATTAGTTTTTAATTTTTAGTTTGTATAACTATTTACATATTTCATTTTTATCTCGAATCATGCCCTGATGATGACCCACATGTTTGGGTTGGCACTATGGATGAAACGTCAGCATCAATAAAAACTTTATAATGACTGCGCCCTGAATATTTATCACCCATGATATGTAGAACAGTCGACTAACTTCCTTCAATAATCTATTAATAATTTTATATTTGTTTAACCTATTTCCATTTGAAACACGTAAGCTTCTAGTTACATTCTTAATATTCTCCCACTTTGATTACTGTTGTGTGGTATATAGAAATGAAATTTATTATTCTGTCCCTTTTGGATGAATTATAAATACTGAATGAATGCTAGTATGGGCATGCATAAATTAAATATTTGCAATAATAGCTAATTAAAAATAAAAATACAGAAAGCAAGAGAGAGCAAAAAAAAAGTATGCATAAATAGATAAAACAATCATAGGAAACTAAAATAACTTAAGTAAACAGATATAGTCTCTGTGGGTACTTAAAGAGTTCTCTTAGATTCATTTTGAATCAGTCAGATTAGGAAAGAAGTAGGTGTTTAATAAAGAGGAGAGGTTTGAAAGAGCAAACTGAGTGTGCGTGTCTAATATCAGGAGAGATAGAATTCCGGGGGGAGATGGCTTGAATTACAAAGAATTTTCAGTAGTTCGGTGGCGAGGAGGATAGAGATCGGAAGTATGAGATCTAGGAGACAGGATTAAATGGAGTATTTAAATTGTAAGCTATGAAAAATATACGGTGAAGTCTCTGGAGATTTTGAGGTAAAACTACAACTGTTGGTAATTTGCTTTGTACGTTTCATCTTTAGGATACCAAGGGAAGTCTCCTTTAAATCCCGCCTATTCAATCACTTCTTATCCATCAAGAAAAAAAATTATTTTTTATTAGAATATAACGATTGAAAAAGCTTTTAATGAATTATTTTTTAAAGAACACTTAAAAAAGCCGGAACAAAAACTTGTTTTCACATCCCTCTTTTTAATATTTAGGCTATTTTTTTAAAAAGAAATAATTTCACTATCAGATTCTTTGGATGCTTTTACATGAGAATCGGTGCTTATTTTTATTTCCCTAAACTTCTGTTAGGTTTCACTTTGGAAATAAGCGACTCAAATATTCATTAATTAAATTTCTTTTTTTAGGAATTTGCCGAACACAGGTTGGATTGTTATTATATGTTGAAGAACGACATACTATCCAAGCATGGCTTCACTCCTGATAAGATCATCCCGGTCAAGAGAAAGATTTTGGAAGCTGAGGAATAAGAAGCAGAGAATTGCAATATACTTCTGTTTTTAAAATATCATTTCTTGTGATATACATATATAAAAGATGTATGTAAGAGCCGGGGACTGTAATGCCATCGCAGGCGAAGTAGTACTTAATTTGAATAAGTACTCGACGCGCATTTGTGATATTGATTTACCTTTGACATTTTACGACTGTTGAATAGTCTTAGAAACTTCTGGCTGTTTTAGATTATACTGCTATTATATTTAGTAAAATGTCAAATGTTTCAAAAGAAATTATCGATTATTAATCTGTCGTTTAATTCTTTCTTTCGATATAGAACCTTATCATCGTAAATTTTATCTCATTGAAAGTATTTAAAATGATACTGAAATATTCGATTTGTAATTTTAACTTGTCTAGATTCATTTTGTTTTACTCTCCTGTGTAGACTTTTATTTTAATGACATCATAACACAAATGTATATAGATATTTCCATGTTTAAGTTTAAATTATGCTTTTGTTCTATATTTGTCAGCGCATCACATTTGCATTTATATATATATTTTAATTTTTTTTTTAATTATAGTTAATTTATAAATATATATTTTTGTGATATTTAGTGTAATCACAGTATTTATGTAGCATTTATTTAAAATAATTTTCCAATCTGTTACCTTGTATATATATTTATATTTATTAGTATTTGTTAATTTATTTTTATATTTATTTCAATTTAATCCGACCATTTATTTGTAATATTCTTTGTATAAAGACTGCTCTTGTACTTATACTCTCTTGTTTCAATATTAATGTTGAAACAGTGTCCCTTTTTCTGTAATTCTTATCATAATTTACCCTGTTATAAATAAATACACTTTTTCATGTTTTATTTCATGTTGATTATTTATTTATTAACAAAAAAACAGCCTCATTATTCATTGATCAAAATTGTTCATAGATTGTTAATAACACCTTTACCATATGTTATAAAGATCATATAAAGCAGGTCTAATTTTAAATATTGTAAATACGCTTAGATAGCATTGGTTGCTCCAATTATACAATTTATTATTTTTTTTTTACAGTATAGTGAAGTCTCTTTTCTATAGTTTGTAAATTAAAAATTTACTAAACAGTTAATTTTCACTGCAAAAAACAAAGCTAAAAAGAAGATGGACCAACTAATCTCAATTATATTAACCGAATACAATTCAGCGTCTGAACTCCCCGGTTAACTCATCTTTCTTAAGTCTGAATATTCTATGCAATACTTTACTTTCAAAAACCTTAAGACGTTGCTCATCCCTAGATTTAAGCTGCCACATTTCACATCCGTAAAGAGCCGTAAGTAGGACAATTGTTTTGTAGATTCTAATTTTTAAGTTCTGGGACAGGAGGCACGAGCTAAGTAGTTTTGTCACAGAAAAATAACAAGAATTTCCCGCCTTCAGCCTAACCTTAATCTCCTCTTCAATTTCGGTTTTTTCTAGTTATCGTAGACCCTAGATACCTGAACTTCTCTACATGTAAAAACATATTCCCTTCCATATCGATATCGCCATTTTTATAGTTAACCATATATTTTGTCTTATCCTTATTGTTACTCACTGGATGAGATAAAAACAATGAACAAATCTGTGATAAGTAAAACATGGAGCAACAAACATTTTAATAGCAACCCACCAGACCCCTATCACAAACTAAATAGAAAGGAGCAAGTTAGGACTCAGAACTAACCAAATCAGGCTAAATGATCGCAAAAATTCAGAATTGGCAATAGTCGGTTGTGTAAGTGTGGTAGTAAAGAACAAACAGCTGAGCCAATATCACTTGAAACCCAACTCAATTGGACGCTGGAGTATCATTGATTTCCTTATTTCAACACCGTATTTGACTATTTAGTTGGAAGAGAGAAGAAGTATATTTTTAAAAAAATAAAGTTAAATGAAATTTTACAAATGGAGATGGGTAAGGAATTCCAAAATAAGGATGCTTGCTTGATAAAGGATTATCTGATGGAAGCAGTTCTTATGTTTGTTCCACAAGTTTGTCAGTTGGTATATCGCGTTTGAACAATGGACAGTAAAACAAAGTGAATAAATTAAGCATAGGCTTTTTTGGTTATAAAGGATCTGAAAAGATAGACCCCAAGGAATTATTACTTCCTGAATACCAGGTAAAACCACTTTAAACTTGGTATACCAATTTGAGATCCTGAAAAAAATAATAATTGGTCTCTTCAGTTCCCTGTCATGTTTACCGAACAATCAGATTTACAGTGATTTTTATAACATGGGTGTTGTTCTTCCTCAATTATTGGAAAACTATATTAATGCGTGAGAAATTCAAACATTGTTGCTATATTTGTATGATAAAAGAAAAGTAATCCAATAAAATATTTTATATGTATTTATATTTTATCAAAGGCCGTAGTGGAAGGTAGGGTGATTAACATTTTTTTTTTATATAATTGTTATTAAAGCAACAATAACAATAATACCCACTGGAAAGAATGGAAGAAATGATCAAATTTGGAAGCCACACCTTCATGATAGCAAACCAGTTTAAGTATTTGGATGCTCACATCAAAGAATGAACACCAAGAAGAAATTAAAGCAGGAGTAGCTGCTGGAAACAGGTGCTATTACGCTCATCAAAAACTTAAAATTCAGAGGCCTGACCAACAGAGCTAAGGTCTTATTATATAAAACAGTGATCAGGCCGGTTGTGTCTTATGGCTGTGAGACTTGGGTACTTTCCAAAGAAAGTGAAAGAATTTATACATTAAAGCCCACCGAACCGCTGCTTTCGACAGATCGTTCATTATCCGAATCTCATCCCTATGGAACTCCATCCCTTCCCACATCCGTCCAATACCCTTCCTATCTTCAAATCCCGACTGTTTAATCATGTCTTATCCATCCAGCCCTCATAAAATTGTAAATAGATACCACTGTAAATATTTATATAAATTATTAGATCATTCTTCATTATTTTTACTTTATTTTCAATTTTTTATAATTAACTTATTTAAGTTAGAAAGTAACTTATAATTTTTTATTATGACTATTTAATTATTCAGCATTTTTTTCATGTATCTATGAGGCTCCTTAGCCCACATTTCTGTCCTGTAATATTCTAAAGGGACTCGTCCCAGAATAAATAAAGTATTATTATTATTATTAAAGAATGTTAAAAGTTTGGGAAAGGAAAGTACTCAAAGGAATATATGGGACCTGTCTGCGAGAATGGCAACCGGAGAATAAGAAAGAATGAGGAGCTGAAAGAAATGGTCCAAGAACCAGATCTGGTTTCTTTTGTTAGAAAGAATCAGTTGAGGTGGCTGGCACATGTAGAGCGAACGCCGGCGAATAGGATACCCAAAAAATTAGCCTGGACGAGAAAGAGTTGGAGGACGTCCACGATTGTGATGGTCAGACGGTATGGAGAGCTTATTGAGAGAAATGGAAATCAGAGGATGGAGGAGACTCGCCCAGGATAGGGACGACTGGAGTAGGATTGTAAAGGAGGGCCAGGCCCTTGTAGGGCTGAAGCGCCATGGAGTGAGTGAGTGTGTGAAAGCAACAATAATTGTTTAAGGAATAAAACTTTTATATTTTAATTGACACGTGCTTACATTTAGTAGCTGAAATACATGTGTAATTATTAAAGAAAACATACTGTGATTGTCTAAATATTTGGATGAAATTACTCATAGAAACAAATATGGACCAATTAAAACTTATTATTTACCCTTGAATCTATTATAACTGATTGAAATGGATTGAACTGTCAATCCAAAACTCTTTCTACCTTTGAATCCCGACTGTTTAATCATTTCTTATCCATTCAGTACTCATAGAATTGTAAATAGCTACTACTGTAAATATGTATATAAATTTTAGATCGTTTTTCCTTATTTTTACTTCATGTTTATTTTCAATTTTTTTATTATTAACTGATTTAAATTAGAAAGTAGCTTATAATTTCTTTTATTATTTTTTTATTTTGTCTATTTAATCAAACTATATTCTTGTTTATGTAGCTCTAAGGCTTTTCCACATCTTTGTCTCTCTGTATTATTCTAAAGGGACTCTTCCCAGAATAAATAAAGCATTATTATAATTATTATTAGTAACCAAAGATGCATACATTTATTTAATTGAAAAATTAGTTCTAATAAAACTCATTACTGATAAGTTTTTTAATTATTTGTTTTAATACGTATACTGATTTGAATATTTTCATGTTCTGATTTATCTAACATTATTATTGCTGTTTTTAAAAATTGAGCAATATTTTTCTTCTGTAATTGAATTTAAAATTCAATAAATTAAATATTTATTTTTTTAAAAAACAAGAGATACACTCAATTGATTACAAAAAAACAGCTATCTCATTCACAGAAAAATAATAATAATTCAAAACGATTTTCAGCCTTCTTTGTGAACTGAAGCTTTTTTCTTCCCCACAGGAATTATGACAATGATATAACTTCAAATATTATTTCTAATTTTATGGGAAGGCATTTTTATGATTTCTCCAAGAAATCCATTGTTTTAGATTTTTTTTTCTTAATTTTAAAAGTTCTACAAAATTTCCTGAGTTCGAATGACTCCTCAATGCCAATGCTGTACCTTGCAGAACTATTTTAAAGAACCAATTATTGCAGGAAGGGAATAATTAGCAAACAACTGTTCTTTTTTATGTGTCTACATTCACAATATTTCACTCTTTAACCTAAAATCACCTCAGTCCACCTGTTCTATCAATTTCTTCCTGCAAACATAGATAAAAAAGAAAATGACCGAGAGATCACTTCTTCGCCATTAACCCATTCAATAAGGAATCAATAATCAAAGCTATTATAAAAAAACTTACAGAAACTAACCAGTTAACATCAAATTTGCTAGGTGTGCTACTATTAGCTGCAAAGGTCCTACAAGAATAAAATAAATAAATATAACAGTTCTCATAATACCTTTTTATTACAATAAAATCCCAAAATAGTAATGTCTTGCATTTATAAAAAAATATGTTAATTTTGATAGAATATTTCTTTCAACCCTTACCAGGAATGGTGAAGATAGATGCTATAACAGAGTTTGACTAAAAGTTTTCTTTAAATAAGAAATAAATTTTAATCAGCTCTTGGATTGTTGGTTTGATATTAAAAAGTGCAACTATTATAAAATAGAAAAATAAAATAAAAATAATAGGATATTTTATTTCCTAAATGTTTTAATTATAATTATTTTTGAAATCTTATATAATAGTAAAAAAAATTGTCAGTAAATTAATATTTTTATATAGAGTAAAAATAAAAGCAATGGAATAAGCAATAATCCATATAATTTTAAAAGCTATTGTAATGAATAATGAATACATTTTATTATCAATTTATTGATTAAAATACTTTTTTTTTCTAAGAAATAAATAATAATAATAGTAATGACCTGTTCAAAATTCAGTATTCAAAGGTTGGTACTTAAAATGTTTTTCTTCAAAGTGTCAGAAATAACATACTTTATTAATGTGAAAATAATATACAATTTAACTTATTATTAATAATTGGTACAATTTCATTGCTTAAGTTGAGGTATGTATCTAATTTATTTAATTGAATTAGAGATAATCAAATTGTAATGGCATTATTGTTAATGTTTGGAGCCCATTCTAATTGTAAGCCATTATTTTTTATTTTGTAATTTTTTTTTCTAGGTCCTAGTAGTTTACTGCACTGCTTATTGTTACAGTTTTTTTTTAGAAATGTTAATAATGCTGTTTATTTAATTTTAGTAAATAGGATAAAGATTGCAGTATAACAGGTGAGTAATTGTTGCTTCTATAGCACTATTTGTTAAATTACTATTTGATTTTATGACAATGCATTCATCATTCA